GGGGTGAACTCATGCCATGCTCCCAAGACTCAATTCAACGTTTCCTCCCCATACATCAATCGCTAGTCGCTGTGCCAGTAAATATTCCATTCTCTCGCGAGAACCTCGAACCCGTTGCCCAAAGTCGTCAGGACGCCTCGTGAAGGCATCACCGAAAACGTCGAACCTAAGAACTCCATCCTTAAGTCGTCGGCGCTGGGTATTTGTTGTCCGAAGGGCATGAGACCAGATTCCCCCAAGTTCGTCTACCATAGTAAATGTCCGTTCCACGCGCCATGCTGAATGAAAATAAAGAAACCCAAACCGAAATGAATTGGTAAACGAAGGAAAGACAGGGCCGGAAGAAAGCCTCCACCGGACTGCAGCCTGATACTCGAAGTCGTCGAGCATTGAACGCCCACTGATGATGTGTCTCTGAACTCCGTTGAGATCGTAGACGGAGTGGCCAACACGACTCCAGCGCTGATGACTGCGGAAGGCCAATGAAATCAGGCCCGTCAGGGAAGGGCGAGTCAGAACCATGTGAGATTGGGAAGAGGAAAAAAAAAAAAAAAAACAAGTAAGGTAACTGATGCCGGGAAAATCAGATGCCGATGTAAATGCGTATGCGCCGAGATCTTCAAACAGCGCCGTCCTCGATGCTGTCCAAGTATCTTGTGGCTTTGCCTTGTTGCCGTGTATCCGCACTTGAACACCGTAACGCCGGAACTCTCGCCATACTGCCTCTGGAAGCCAGATAGGCATCCTGACATAACTGCATGCCTTTACCTGCCAAGCATGTGAGGTGGCAGGTAATTCGAGTTGTTTCCATTCATCATAGAACCAGGCCCACCGGCAGTCATGGTACTGCTGTTGTACCCATTCCACACGTTGTTATTACCGCTTGCTGGGAAGCCAGCAACAGTGTAAGGTGTGGTTCCCGAGGAGCCGTTATTGAAACGCCCGGAACCGAGACCAGGTGGCGCTGATAGTCCTGGAGGAGGACCGTTGGTGGTCTTGAACCCATTCGTGGAACCTGTCATCATGCCGCTCATTGGAGACGTTGATTGACCCGGAGTCTGACCCGACCTGACGCCCAAGGGGTTCTTCGAGAAGCTGAGGCGAATCCCACCCTTTACGCTATTGTGAAGCGGATGTCCGTAAAGCTCGTGGAGAGCTTTGGTAGCAAAGGAAACATCCTCAAACTCCACAAAACACATGGGTCCGTTCTGCTTGGTCCGGAAGCAAAGCCTCTTGTAGCCCCGTTGCTTGGAGAACATGGCCTTAAGCTCTTCCTCAGACGTATCGATAGGTAGATTGCCCACGTAGAGGGTGTTGCAAGGCGGATTCTGGTCAGCAGGGTTGACCGGGGGAAAGTTATGGCGGCCGTAAGGACCAGTCCCCATATGGAAGGGTACTGTGTGTGGACCCCCGCCCATCACAGTGGGTGACATGACTGGGTGAGCCGACATTGCTGCCATTCCTTGTTGACCATATTGCGGGAGCGACGATGGACTGGGTGTTGTACTGGTGGTGTTGAGGGAGAGGCTCGCCAAACGCGATATGGGTAGCTGTGGGGCAGTGGCTCTTCTCTGAGCCGTAGCTCCATTTTCCGCGTAGGCGACTGGGTCCTTCAATAGCTCGCCGGTCTCGTCATCGTCGGCCGCATCGTTGTTAATCAACGATTTCCCAGAAATGCGTGTCCGTTCGGTGAGGTGATTTCCGATGGGAGACTGAGGCGAGAACAGGTTCTGATAGTGCGCGCTGGACTCTGGGTTGGGCAATTCGCTGGAGCCGTATATGCCGTTCATAGGCGGCGATATCTTTTCGAGAGATTGGAATCCGCCGTTGAATCGTGATGGTTGTCGCGAGGACGGGGCTGAAGAGGCTGCGGAGGATGCAGTGCTCGACGATCCGGTCCCTGCGGGTTCGGCGTACCTTCTCGACGTGGTTGGGCTGCCCCCAAGAATCTCGACAATCATATTGGCGTCGTTAGAAATGTTGGATTTCCCGTTCAGCATGTTCTTTGTTTCGATTGCTCCATTCGTAGTCCGGAACTTCAGGACAGCCGAGCGGAATCCCTTGTCTTCTGATTGATCTACGGGGAGTACTTCAACGTCAACAAGCTCTTTGGACCAAACCACCATGAGGCGAAGCGATTCTTCCGAAGTGTTCAGCGGAAGGCGACGAATCAGGACAGAGGCAGCCACAGAGGACGGGTTGGCGTATGGCGTTCCGACAGGCATAGCCGCATCGCGCTCAAAGGGGTTGACGGACGAGAGGAACGGTGCCTGGGTGTTGGAGGACCTGAAGGGTTGCGATTGTTGTAGAAAAGCCGGCGCAGCCATGGCAGTAGACTTTTAGGTGTTTGATATTTGTCGTTGTTGTTGTTGGAGGATTGTCGCGACTCGATGTCATCCCCGAAGGTCGAGTTCGGCTGATGAGACTGGAAATGCGCCTGCTTCACCTTTGCTCGCTTGTCATCCGCCGGTGTTGCGGTGCATGCGCTGGCGCGTGGTGCCTTGGATTGCCTCGGAACTGCGACAAAGAGAGGGAGGATTGCAACAGTCGCGCAGCTCAGGTGGGAACTCTTGGAAGCGCGTGCGAACAAGAATGCGGGAAAATGGGTCAAGACGCGGTGAAATTATCGGGCGTTGATGTCGATTTTCGAATGCGCGACGGGAGGATACAGGGCGACGGAAGAATGTTGCAGAGAGCGATATCGAAAAAGTTGAGGGGGGGCTGGACAGGTTTTGGGAGAAGGGGGGGGGGGGATGGAGCGTGCGGGAGGAGTTGGCGCAAGGTTATGTATCGTGTCTTAAAGTTCGGGGAGGAAGAGAGAAATTGAGCAGGGTGGAAAGGTACCGGGAGGGAGTGGTGGCACTGATGGCAGACAAATGGATGCAAAGGCAAGGTGTGATGGTGGGAAGTGTGTGGTGGGCGAAGTATGAAGTGGTTAAAGTGAGAGACGGCCAGGAGGAATGGTGTGCGCGCCTTGATGGGTTGAGTTGAGTTGGGTTGAGTGCGGCGCGGTGCGGTGCGCCAGGACAGCGGGTATGGAGGAGGGAAGGGACGGGCTCCTGTCTGGCCTGCTTCGCTCCAAGAGCATGGGGGGGGGGGGCTCGGGGAAGCAGTGTAAATGCTGGGCTGATTGCGTTCGACAGTCGGGTAGCCGTAGCTCTCTGGGAAACTGGGACGAGGTGACTGAGACTTGGGTACCAGCGAGCGGTAGGCACGTAGCAGATGACAAGCCAGTGCAGGTCGACTTGCCGGGGCCCCTCGAAGCTTGATGGTGACAGGTACCCAATAGGACTACACCCACGGGATGGGTTGACTCGATGATTAGAGTCGGAAAACGACTAAGCCAAACTGGACAGCACGACTACCGTGACGGGGGGTCCCTCTGAAGTTAGACTGCTTGGGTCCTGGTCGGCAGGACAGAAGAAGCTGGGGGCACAATTTTGTTTGTGAGCCTGCCTGCGCGAAAGTGTCCAGTATGGGTAAGAGAAGAGGGGTTGTGGAAAAAAAGCGGGCGGAAGTGCGAAAAGATGTTGCAGGACGGCGTCAATGTCGTCGGTTTATCGTGGGGTTTGGCGGCGCAAAGTATCGAGAAAAGGTGGCTTGTAGCCAAAGTCTGTTGGGTCTGTACCTAGGGGAACCCAGGGAGTTCGCTTGATGATGGGAATCTGGCAATGTGGAGGGAGATGCGAAGTACTCCGTAGTGTTTTCGTACAGACGTGAAGTACCCGGCTAGTATCGAAGAGCCAGTGAAGCGGAAAGGCTGCAGCTGGGGCGCTGGGAGGGTGTGTGAAAGCAGACTCGGTCGGTCGCGGTGGCTGTTGGGCCTAGGGGCGTCGACGGTGGTTCCTCTCAAGGTGGTGGTGGTCCTTGTTCGAGCTCTTTTGGATTGTGGTCCAGTCCAGTCCACCACTCCAGTTGCGTTTGGACTTTCTGGACTTTACTGCGTAGAAAGTGGGAGTGGAAGGGGTGGACAAGGGATGCTCGTGCTGTGGAGGTCTAATTGCGCCGCCGCTGGAGCACTCGGGAGGGACGTATCGTACCAATCAGAAGCCGATCGCGTAAGGTGGGAAAGCGTTTGGTGTGGGCTAAGGCAATGCTAAGGCACGACCTGGAAGTATACTTTTTGTCTACTTTGCTTGGTGGGGAGGTGCAACCACCCTGACGAAGGTTCTGTGTAAGTGACTAGCCGGTCGCAGTCGTCGATGTTGTCGTCTTTGAGAATGCGGGATTCGTACAGACAGGCAGCGATTGCGTTATCTCTGCCTCGCCCAGAGAACCCTGTGAGTGGCAGGGCGGTCGCCGACTCGACACTGATTCTTTCAAGAAAATGTTTGATATCAAGAGCAGTTGGCGAATTGCGTCGACGGCTTCTGCGTCTGTGCTTTTGCTGCGGCGCTCGTCGAGGGTGTGTGCAGCGAGTGAAGCTGGTCTGGGTGGGATGGGGTGCACCAGTGTCTGCTTTCCAGAGGGACTGGGAGTCGTGGGAGCAAGCCGCAGATGAGAAACGGGAATAGGAGAAATGCTGAGGAGGAGGTACGTGTAAGCTGTCCTTTGGCAGCTAGGTTGGTGGTAAGTGTTGTGGAGGTTGCGTGCTCGTGGAGGTGTGTCTTTGATTGCCGTAGCAGCAAAGGCAGGTCGAGGTCGAGGTGATGCTATGGTAGGGTTGGGAAGCGGTGGTGATGGTGGTCAAGGACTCTCTCTACTGCGTAAGTCGAGGTCGAGGAGACGCAGCTTCTGGGCTCGGTGGATGTGGGAGACGGAATTAACCTGGAGGCTAACGGGCGGGCGAACGAGCGAGAGAGACAAGAGAAGGGAGGCCCCTGCCGGTACGTCTTCCTGTTAGACCGGTTTTCTTGGTGGCACAGCCTTTAGAGGGGATAACGGCGTCAGGAGAGGGTGCGGATTGGTCCAAGATGGTGGTAGCGGTGCGACCGGGCTCAGGGGTCTTGTAGACTTTCGGCGATCGTTGGCACCGTTTGAGGGCTGGTGCTTGCCAGGAGGCGCGTGTGGTGGATGGTGGTGTCTCTCTTTTAGATATCGGCATGGGCTGTCGTCTGTCCCTTGTCTTGCCAGTCTGTCCGTCTGTGTTTTTGGGGGGCAGAATCGTACAGAGTAGAAGGGCTGCGCGTGTGTGCTATTGTCTGTGCGTGTGTGCGTGTAGAGTGCGCGTAAACTGGAAGTGCGTGTGTAAGAACCGTGCGGGCCGAAGGTGTCTGGTTCTTTGTTCTTGTGCGTGGTGTGTATCTGGAAAAGTACGAACCGGGAGTACAAGCGCGACATATGTCGACGTCTGCCAGAGGTAACGTCGAGGGACAAGAGAAGTAGCGATGGTGGAAATCGGGTGAAGAAAAAAGAAAGGAAGAGATTCGAGATGTTGCTGTGGATTTGCTGGTAATGCCAATAGTATTTGGGTGATGGGGATGGAGCAAGGGAATCTACATAGATTTTTTTTTTCGGTCAAGCGGTTCGGTTGGTTGAAGTGGGAGGCAAAAGTAGGTAAGGTGAAGAAGATGACTGGGACGGGAATGTCTAAGGCAAAGGTACCTTAGGGGAGGTATGAGGGTTCAGACACGGTGGACAATGACGCGGAACACGTAGGAAATTGGGAATGAATTGGCCAACTTGGTGTTGGACGGTCGTAGGTACTGCCGCACTTTCCTTCGATGTTTCTTTCCTTCGACTCCTTCCTGCCTCCGTACTCACGAATGCCTTCCTTCCTGCCTCTAAGAACCTAACACCTTCCTGCGTACCGTCACTACCTACCGTGTGCTCCTGCCCTGGAAGTATGTATTCGTACCTGCCAGCACCACATGACTGCATGGTACCTTCCTTCCCTCGCCAATCTGAGTTGGACGTGGGAGGCAGCAACGACAGGGTGGAGTCGGCCTTTTCGAAACAGGAAAAGAAGGAACAACGCAGATTGCAGATTCACCTTCCCTCCCCTCCCTGCTCAACGTGCAGAACACTGAAGTTTGAACACCTGCCCTGGTGACGGGAAGCACCTGCCACCAGGGAGCAAAATAAATGCCCGTACCTTGGCCGATACCCGAATGGGAATGGGAATAGGAATGGGAGTGGGAATGAAAAGGAAAGAACGAGCCAGCACCATTGCACTGTATGAGAGTCATATCTGCAACACTGTCCACAAGTGTCTTTCTTGCACGTTGCAACTCCATCTGCCTCCCTTCACGTCTCCATCCGTACTGCGGATGTATCGGTGGTATTCAAGCCTTGTGTGATGTGCCTTACTTTACGGATACTTCGACTACCTACCTACGTGCTTCGTCTGTTTCTCGCGAAGCTTTGTTTTTGTCATATTTTTTTCGTATTTGCTTTTTGCTGTTTGCGTCAAGCAATAGTCAGAGAAGGAAGGGTTGTGGATGCACGTGTGAAAGATAAGGTAAATTCGATCAACGGCGGCCCCCCCCCCTCGTAGCCCATGTTCTAATTACACGACGGCTGATACTTTGAAGGTACTCGATGCTCGATTCTCGATACGCCTCGCTACCATGCAGATGCCGGCGCACGCATCACCAGTATTGTCCCTGAAGAACCAAACCAAATGATGAAGAAACCTCTCGAGTCCGGCGCACCAAGCCAGCATGGCCAGCTGCATCGTAAGCTGCCGCCGCTGAAACCTGGGAGGATTGGGGACGGGGTCATTGCATGGGGCTAGACATGTGTGTGCCTCGCCCTCGATGCGCCTTTGCAACCGCTCGGGAGGACGGCCTCAAATGTCGGGTGGGATACCTACGCAGTGTTTTCTGCTGCGCGCACTCTGCACCTCGCGCCTCGCGCCTCTTGCCTCTGACATCGACTTTAACGGCACCACGGACACCGGTACATCATTCTTCTGCTTCTGTTGTGCCTTTTTGCACGCTGAGTGTAAGACAGAGTTACAGACAGCCACCTAGGTTGGCTCCAACAAATCTGTCGGCCCTGATCTACCACGCGAGACCACAGACCAGATGAGGCCATGTGCCCATCACGCCGGTCAGTTGGCGGAAACCAAACCAAGCTGCATAGAACATTAGCCTACTAGGTAGGTAACCCACTCACCTTACCTTACCAGTCCAGACCCGGTACTCGTACGTAGCGACACCCACCATTGTCGACAACAGTTCCGTCCCAAAGTACCTACTGATACTTCGCATGCTTATCCACCAGCCCAGCAGCATGGGGCAAGGAACACCGCATCCGCATCCGCGAAGCAAGGGACCCGACCGGACCCTCACGCCCGTGCGGAGCTGTGATAGCGTGAACCAGGACCTGGACATGGGCAGCTGCCCACACGGGGTATTCACTTCGTTTCTGTATCTGTAGGGCTCTCTCCCTCCTCCTCCGAGTGTCAACCTGCGGACAAGGCCAACAGCTTTTTGCGACGCAGACAAAAGATGGTGTCGACGCCAGCCCTGTCACCTACACTTCTTTTCGATGAAACCCCTTGGTACTGTCAACTGCATCGCTGCATCATGGACCGTCATTGTGCGTCCGCCGTGAGGAAGTGCAAATACTCTCCACATTGGCACATTTGTGGGGGAGCTGCCAGCTAGGTACCCGTAGCCGTAGGCCATGTCGGGCCAAGGTTTTGGAGGGTACATGCACTTTCTCGCTCATGGTCCTCGGCGCCCGACTGCCAAGATCCTTGGAACCGCCGCGATATTCGAATTGACCTCACATCTGGTCATTCTTTCTGCTCTGACCCGACGGTGTTGTATAATTTGAGTTCTGGGGAGTCGAGTCTGTGCCGCGTCTAAGACTCTAGACATCGTCAGCCCTCCTGCCGGTACTCAAAACATCCCTCACCCGTTCCCGCCTCACACATTCTGCATGCGCCGAGGCGCAAGCCTGCTGGTGCCGTCAAATGCAGATAATCAAACTTCTGCGGTGAGACCCACCGAAACGCTTTAGCAGACCACACATATATCTTGCCTGCAGATATATGGTCGTACCCTTTGGTTACAGGTTCGATATGCATTCGAAACTTTTGCACCTCAACATACTGCTACGGTCAGAGTATACGTGACAGCAGTCCAGCCAGGAGGTTGAACGTGTGAATGCCACCTGCCAATCGCGGTGCTGGCCGTCATGCCGTCGAGGCTGCCAGGTTGTCTTTTCAGCATCAGTATGAGATGGATTCGAAGCCGATCCAGTTCGAAGGATGCCGTGGGAAGCATTTCTCTATTCATCAAACTTGAAGATGGAGAAATTAGTCTGAAGCGCAAAGCAACGTGAATGAGATTATCTAGCAAGGGAACTGACAAACTACAGGTGGTGTGGTTTCGACAAGGTATGACAGCGATGTCGAACCCCCCAGACCCTGAATTCCTTCAAGCGCAGCATTGAGCACCCTCTACTTTTCTCAGCCTGCAGATTGAACCTAGGAATTGTGGCGTCATTCCCCTCCTCCTTGGACATCTTTTTCGCTTTGATTGCTGCGTTGAGTTTTGACAGAATGCTCCGGTACTGCTGGCTGACCGGTTCAAGTAGTCACCCACACCGACCATGGCCTGTCTCTCACGATGACGCTAAAGCAAGACTACGACTGCCTATTGGGTTGCCGAGCAAGCTCCGATTTTCCGGCTCTCAACACAATGCCACTCTTCTCCAAACCTCTCCGGCCCGGTGGTTGCCTCTGGTTAGGCCGGGCGGATGAATGCAGTGGATCGGTCTTTGCCCCGACGCAACTCGTCCAGTCTCGACCCCGCCAACTTATCAAACATGGCTCCTCCCTGTGACAGTGCGCCTATCATTGGGCAATTCCAAATCCTTGTTGTCCTGTATTTCTGCTCATCGCTAATACACTCAAAGTCCGAAGATATTCAGAGAGCCCATCGTGTCGCAAGCACATGCTCTCAACCAGCCAATTACCTGCAGCCTGGTACAGGCACATCATGCATCCGAAGACAGAGACTGAATTCGGGTGCAAGTCGCAAGATGCACGTATGTGAAGTCAGATGCCTCTCACCACTCTGGGTCAAGTTGGTGGATTCTTGCGCTCATCCCCAAGCCTCTATTCTAGTTTGACGGCATTGTCAGCCGGATAATCCCCTTTGACCTGGCAAGCCTGGCACGCGTGGGTAGTCGAAGATAGTTTGTACGACATGGCCTTCCCTACCCAACGCAGTTCTAGCATCTCGCTTCCGGGCTCGTTTGATGACGAAGCTGTTTTCTGGCCCGCGCTTATCGGTAAGGTCAGCACTGGGGAACACGCTCTGGGTGAGCTGTTGTGCGAAGTATGCATCACGACGACCCCTCCTGATGAGATCCTTGCGTGAAGAGAAAGTATCTCCGACCAACACGGGAGGCTAATTCGACTACTTTGACTATTGTTTGTTGTTCCAGCCCCATGAGGATGGCTTAGAGTGAGAGCGATGGCTGGTACCAACATCTCGAGGTATCGACTTTTTATAACACTCTGTGACCTCATCTGGCGGCTACTCGCGTGCAGACTGGCCAGTATGGCTAGCTCATCAGGCCTACATGTCTGTTTGGCGTGCTATCAACACACTCAATCGACTTCAACGCACATGCTCACGACCATCAGAAGCGAGCAACGTTTGCAACCCATTGGAATATGGCGCAACTTGAAATCTCTCACAGATTCAACTCATCAAACCCGCGGATACAAGCCGTTTCAACTCACGAGAGGCAGATGTTGCAACTCTCAAGACTTTCCGAGAGGTGCTCCCTAACTTGATTTCAGACTTTCATCTCAAAAACCACCAAAGCCATAGCTTCCATTAGCAGCATGTTTCTCTGGGCTTCCTCCGGAGGCTTGCAGCCCAGGCAACTACCGGTATTATACAAGGACATGATCACATTGCAGAACCTTCTTTCCTCGCCATCTTCCTTGGTAGTTTTCCGCGGTGTCTACAATACCCTATACAGTTGCGCGTTTGGCGTTCAAGTTTTCTCCTGAGTTTTCTCCTTACTGCGGCCCGGTCGACGTCTGCGACCCAATGCTCTCTAATGCTGGCTTCTGGTTTGTCCCGTAATCCGCTCGCCATCGCATCAACAGCTTCAGAGACCAGCCCCCCCCCCCTTCGGCAAAGGGGACAACGTAGTTGTATGGAGTAACATTTCTTACCCAAAACAAGTCCGATAGCCACCTCGCTTTCGCCCTTTTGCGAGCTCAGAAAACCCCCTAAATCCAGGAACACCGGAATGGTCAGCAAGCTGGAGACACGAGGCTGAAGACAGAACTCTGTATGTCGGGAACGACCACCCTACCAAACGCTCAAGAAGTGAACATATCCTCGGGAATAGATCCATGCCATCTTTGCCGAGCTTTCTCCTCCACCATCCAGCATGTGCCGCTGCACATTCCCGACTCCTGAAGGGTCTTGAAATGCAGACCAGCAATTCCTACATCGTAACGAAACAACAAAGGGCGCCCATGCTTTCTTCAGTCAGCGAGGCATTCATCACTTTGAGTAGTGGCTGGCAGTAGTCACATAGCGAGCGCGAACTCGCAAGATGACTGTTTAGCTCCCCGGCTTGGTGCGATTACAGATACGGACGCAAACGACAATAAAAAGCTTTTCAGGGGCAGACTTGCTCTGCTGGTTTATTTAGTTTTCAATGCTGTCGACTCACCTCTTATTTTCGAAGTGGCCTAGAGCGGGCTCATCTTGGACAGATTTCCCTCCTTGAGGCTCATCTTGAACTCCAATTCATCAGGCTGTGGTTACACAAGGGAACAGACTTTACTATTGGCCAAGCGTAGGGGAACGTTCGAGGAACTCCAGCCTTGCATAAGTTCGCCTTGTGTGCTCTTTCCTCTCAACTTAGAGTTCAAGTGCCGCAAGTTTTGACTTGTCTCTCTGGCAGTAGCTTTCATCGCTTCAACGGAGGGTATTTGACATTCTCCATCAGAGCGACATCAACGTTTTGCTGGACACATTCGACCAAAGCGTGAGACGCCCTGGCCGTTTACAGGAGATTTTCAATATCGAATTTCCACAAAAGTACTAAGTCCATACGAGGACTCAGGATAAGCCACTTCCTCATGTGCTGTAGCAGTCATTCGGGTATCTCGACGTTTCCTGAACGACCGAGTACGGTCTTTGTTCGTCAGCCAACCGTTGAAAAGTCAAATCACGCACGGGGGAGACGACTCCCTGAAAGTAGAGTCTCATTGGCTGGCAACCCTGGAAAGTACCATTTGTCGTGCATGGGACTACTGTACGGATGCCATGGCCAGTCACTTCCGGATGCAGAATCCTGAAACTAGCAAGGAAGATGCACTGTTGGGACGAATTCAAGCGCTCAGCGTTTGGAGAGATGGGCTCAAACTTTGCTTCTCGCATGGCACTGGGCAGAAGGCTCTGCCACTGGCTCAATCTTATGTCTTCAGAGTGACCCCCTTCCAGGCAGAGTTAGCGGCCCTGGAGCTATCTAGGAGTACTTGGGAAAGATGAGAAATATCCATAAGCAAGCCCCAGTTTGACTCGGTAATTCGTAAACTCATGAACAGACACCATGCTCTCACGGCTGGTTGAGGGTGGGCAGGCCTGCCAATCATGATATCTCTTCACTACCGAGCCTAACAGCGATGTGCTGTCGGCATATGTCCCGCTCCGGCTAAACCAGCTACTACGGCTTACACACCGTCAGGCCTGGGCCTTGGAGGCTCGGTCTGACGTATGTCACTTATGAACGATCCGCAACGGCGCATCTCTATCCGCGGCGGTGTTCTCCCAAAGTGATGCCGAAGGCTGGCTATTGCCTCTGCATCTTTGAGAAAGACTCATTAATCTTGCTTCTCTTGAGATTCAGATGAAGCAGCCTCGGTATAGACCATTACGATCTCGTATTTGTACTGACTGAGTTGATAGTGTAATTCTGTGGCCGTTGTATCAGGTCGAGCTCAGTTTGCCGAGGAGATATCGAGATGCGATAGATTACGAACATCAGCTAGGGTTGTCACAACAGCGACACTTTCTCCGGTATTTGCCTCCAGATGATGTAGTTGCGAGATACTGCAAATAATGACGAAGTTGCTCATGAGGGGGATCCGACCAAAAATAAGCGCTGAGATTGAATGATGGCGGGGTCAACTGGACTGAAAGCGGTCCAAGACGAGAGTCAGGACCACCCATCGGGGAGGGTGTCTGCCAGGAAGACTTCCGATACGATGGAGTCGCCTGTCCCACCGTTCACAAGAGGGAGGGGTCTGCGGGGTTCTTGGGAAAGCTTGGCGCTATCGATTCTCACGAACTTGCCTAGATGACTGCCGACGTTGGAAGGCCTTGTATCCTACACAGGAGTTGTCCTCCCCTTTTTTCGGTTACATGTCCTTCCCATGCCACTGATCTCGGCCGGGCTCTCATCGAAACATCAGATTCGAGGCGAGACCCACTCAAACCGCAAGAGATAGACGAGCAAACAAGTCAACAGGAGGAAGTGGCTGGCTGAAGTTTGGCAGGTGCGTTTAGAAGCCAATGCTATTGTTTGCATGGCCATGTAAAGGATCAGAAGAGCTAACTCTCAAGCATGTTGGAAAGAGTTTTGGAGCATTTGGGAACTGAAGCGAACAACCCCCCCCCCCCATCACCTCTCGACTTTAGACAAGAAAGGTGTTCAGGTGGCCGAAGCGCCGAGCCGCCGCCAGGCCCGAGCTGTGTGATATTTGTTTATGCAGAGCAGAGAGCCTGTGTTATCATTACAGATGCTGCACCGATCACAGGCCAAACCAACATGGTCAATTCAGGTTCCGGATAGTGACATGCGCAAGACAGCCGGAGCGCGTCTGTTCCGTGATTCTGGGCTCTCGCGCTTCCAACAGCCCAAGGGGCTGGTTCGAACCACGATCCACTGCCGGCTTGGAAAGCATTCCCGGCGTCCATGAAGCGAAATCCTTGGTAAGGATAGGGGCGTGGCCAACTCTGTCCGCTCAAAGCCAAGGTCATCTGACCTCTGAATCTCTGTCCCCTTTCCAGTCAACCACTCGGGGGGCTTCCGCGGTCTTGGGCAGACAGGGTTGCCTGGCCGTCAGCAAGTCTTGCTTTTTTGCTCAGGCAGGCTATCTCGAGGAATGTCAAAGCAAGGGTCCTTCTCCAGCGACAAAAATCCGTGCCTGCGAGAGCCACACATGCCTCTGCCGAAGGTTGTTTTCCCAAGTTCCTTCTTTCTGTCATCAACAAGCGTGCGAGTTGCAGCACACCAAACAGCACTCATCCGAAAACCGCCGCAACCATAACACCCTCCTCCTCGTTCTCCTTCCCAACGAGTCTAATTTTGGGCCACACACTTTGAGGGAGACTTCACAGACAGCAGCAACTATATGCAGGCCCCGAGACAACCGAAACATTTGGCTGGGGGAGGAGGGGAGGTGCAGGTTCGGTGTCAAGGGGGGTGTGCGCGACCAGCCTGGCACGGAGCCCACAGAGCCCCATGCCACACTGCGTCTGGGGTTTTATCTCCAGAGTCAATTTTTTTTTTCAACCTCGTCCTGCTTGTCGACGTGCAGCTGCTGCTTCAATCTTTAGGCATGTGGCTGACTACGAAGACGGGCTAACTACGGGAGTACGAAGTACTGTGTATAGGCGTACAGATACAGAGTAGGGATCCTCAACCCGATTACAGGCTCCGAACACGGGTTCGACGCCCGCTGGGCCACCCCGCCGACACGTACCCCTCTGCTCGTCTAGTTCAAGCGGCTCCGGCGAGAGTTGCATGCTACTTTGTCTTCCCTGACTCGAAAGTTGATCTTTATCAAAAGAGTTTCTTCAAACGTCTCCCACGACGGGTGGCGGGACCCTCTCTCTGAGTGAAGGCTCCGGTGCCCCGCTCCGTGTTTTCCTTTTCTCTGCCCGACCGAATGGTCCAGGAAATTCGTCCCGGTCACCGGGACGGAGACGACCTCTGATGAAAGATCCGCCGTCATCTTTACACAACCAGCTGTGCCTCCCTTCCCCTCTCCCCTCCTCCCCGCCCCCTTCTGTTTTCCCACCTTTTCGCGCACAAACTGACGCAGGGACGGGAATCCTGCCAGCCGAGAGGCGACACACATGGCTCGGGTCTTGTAATTTTCAGCCGCAGCACGCTACGGTATACGGTGCTTACCTGACACTTGCAGAGTATCCGTACCTAGCGGTGCTGTCAGATTCTTACCCGACGGACAGGCACTTTGGCCGCGTCAGTCCACTTCAGTCCACTTCTTCCTGTGTTCGTTTCCACCCTCGCATCGCGTGGCTTATTAGGGATAATTTGACATCTAATCTGAACACCTGGCTGGTTTTCTAATTCTAAGGAAGATGTGATACTAATTGAC